ATTTATGTTTACTGTAAGTAACATAGTCATCTTTTGAAGGTATAGGATGTCAAATGTGTAACTCGAGACTCTTTTCTTTACCTGTCTTTGGCAGATCTCGACCACCTCTGCACTATTAAGGCTGGGAGCCATTGTATTCACTTTTCCCTGCAGGATAAGAACCTTTGGGAGATGCTACTGTCTCAAGAACTGGTGACTTAATTCAGCACGATGAAGAAATCCCTCTGTATACGAGAATTTATCAATAACAGACAAACCCTAGGCTATTCACTTAAAAAATCAGACTCTCTAATTGGTACTAATGCCTAGGGGAAAGGAAGGAAGCAACATGAGAGATTTAGGGAGTAAATATTAGGAAAAAAAAGGAAGAAAAGAGAAGAACAACTTCTCCTGCACTGTGAGACATGCCAGTGAAACATGCCTGACTATACAAAATGGGTGGAAATACACTTTTATTTTTTAGGTGGACTCAGGATATTGATAACAAATAACTTGTTGTTGCAAGTCTGTCTTCCCTAACTGCATATAAAATGCATAGTCGTAATTCTGCAGATGAAGCTTTATGCTTAAATCGCAGTATTTCTGTTTTCATGTTTCACTACGTACAGAGCTTCATCTTTCGTATTAAAAAACAAAAAAAAGAATCTTCTTGAAGGAGTCCACTTCACTGGCGGTGATATATTCAGTGGAACATTGTTTCTTTCCAAATTCACTTAGAGGGAAAGAAGTTTAATAATTGATTTTGCAATTTTTCTTATAATTTGATGGTAAAACATGATTTAGTTGTTTTTCTTCTCAGTTGCAGATACATATGTAAACTGATAAGCAAATTACTACATGTAAAGTAGAATTGCATTATGGAGTACTATAAGCTTTATCTAGCATATATTTTTCATTTTGGGTAAACGTATCCTTCTCCTGGCATGATAATACATCAACTTGCCTTTTAAAAATGCTCTATAGTGGAGCAAAAGAATGTCCTTGAGGAGTCTCTTTGCAGACCTGAATAAACACTGTAGAGATGCCCAAGTCATTAGGGATTTGCTCTGCTAGCTAGGCAATTCTGCTGCATCACCCTTTCAGTGTAAATAACTATGTTTAATTAATGGAAATGCAATATATACAAAGTAATGACAGAACAAGTAAATTAACAAATGCAGGGGAAGATGTAGCTCTGTTGAGGGCATCAGATGAAGATCTTGCTACTTCATTAGTTTATGCCAGTTAAAACAAATGTGAAGTATAAACCTACTCCTTTTTATACTGTACAACAGCATTGCAATGAAATGCATTTTAGCTTGCATTAGAATCAGTAATTAAAAATACAAAATGAGTAGTTTAGGCACGTGACAGGCTGTATTTGGTATGCAGTCCAGAACAGCTGTCTCCTGTATCCACAGCTACTGACACTCACAGAAAGGATGGCCAGACTTTGCAAACCCATTTCTGACAGTGCACATTAAACAACTGAGGGTGGATTTAACAATGCAGACAGTATTAATCCTTCCCCATTCCTGTTGTCTTGAGGATTTGAAACGTAAATGCAATTAAGAAAAACTTGAATTTACCAGCTTCTACACTTGGAGGCTCATACTTTCCTTCCCTTGCTCCCACTAAAAATATTTTTTTTACTTCCATTGTATTTATACCAGTCACCAATGAAGTGCCAAATTCCCCTAGCTTGGTTTAATTTTTTCTTTGGAATGACATAAACATAAAAATAGAGTAAGGGACATAGGAAGCTTTTTTCAGCTTTGTGTTTTGTCTTTCTCCAAATGACCATGCCTTTTCACCCTTTTTTTTTCACCCTTAGTTTTCCTCTCTCCTTTCTTCATGCTCAGTAATCTTTAAAATAATCTTTGTGAGGGATGGATGGAAAGGAATTTGCCATGGTGAACTGTAAGATTTCAGGAGAAAAAAAGTAGGAAGCACCCTGAAATTTCACAAATTATCCTGAGGAAAATTAAAGTGGCATGAGCCCATGTTCTAGATCTCTGAATTCCACTTTGCTACGAGAATAGTACCTGCCTTTTCAGCTTACTGTTGCTTTTGTTTCTATTTTCTCCTCTTTTTCCACCTGCAGTTACTTGTTCATGACTTGGAAAATAAACTTTTTGCAGCAGGGACTGCTTTGTGGTTTTTTCTGTGAGCATGGTTTCCACATATTTGATAATTCTGGGCCAAAGGTGATAGAAGTAATCTTTCTCTGAGTACTCAGACTCAAAATTTCAGACTGCTCTTAGTTAGAAGTCCAAAAAGACTGACTTCTCTGGTAGTGTTATTAGTGTTTGGCCAACAGGTGTGTATTATTTCTTAGGTACATCAGCACTACTCCCTGCAGAGCAAGGAACCTACTCACAGCTTTTTGAAAGTGAACTCACTGCGTGCCACCTCAGCTCAGTTTCAAGTTGGTTTGAGCCTGTGCACTATAGGAATGCTTACAATCCTCTCCTATGGGGAAGAACAGTGGAGATGATGGCAATTTTTTTTTTCAGTTACACTTCTTCTTTACTAAGACGTATTTTCATGTTATTTGTAAAATAAAGTGTAGCCTGCGCTGCACTGTAAAAGTGTTGTACAGGAATCATTAACGTGTAACACATGTATATGCCTTTCCTATAGTATTCCTCTAATTAAGTAAATTCTTCTTCTAGATGCATCCATGCCAAAAAAGGTAATGGTCTTGTGGTGGTGGATGGCACAGATTGTGGTGTGAAACAGCAAAAGAAGATGGAAGAGAAAGCGCACAGGCTTTCGAACACAGGAATTTTTCTTTTCCATCTTTCATTTTGGGTAGTTGAAAACATGGAGTTTCTGAGCAGGATATTTTCATGTGTTGGTTTTTGTTTTGTGGGTTTTCTGAAAGAATAGCGTAGGAAGTTATGCTAACAAGAAAGAAAACCATTTTTTTCCTGTCAAAGGGGACAGGCATTTAATTCCTGAAGTGATTCTAAAGGTCAGGAAATATACATTGATGCTCTTTCAACCTGCAAGTAATTAATTGCTTGGGTCTGCCAAAGAATCAGGTACGTTTATATACATATATACAGTTAATTAGTCAAGTATTTGTGGTTGATTAGTGCCTAAAATATTAACTGGCTGCTTTCCCTTAAGTAACTCAAATAGTCCATCCTGTTAGTACTACTCTGAGCTTTATCACAGTGATCACATCTGCATAAAAATGTAGAATTTGCTTCCTAAACTGAAACCCAAAATATCTCTTGTAAGAACAGTATCAACAGCAGCTCAAATCAGGACTCAGTCAAAATATGCTAAGTGTACAACTCTCATGATCAGGTTGTCTCCAAAGGCTTAAGAGAACATTGTAGGAAAGATGAAATCCTATGAAGACAAGTGAGGGAATTGGAACTCTTATGTGTCATCTTTCTTCTGATAAATATGATGTAATACTAACCAGTGATTTAGATTGCTTGCTCTTACTGTAACAGAATAAAATCATGTCCAGGCAGATTCCGTACTGTTAACCTTTTCCTTTCACTGCTGTGTTTCCTCAGCTAGTTCTTGGCCCAGCTGGAAAAGTGGCAGGAAATGTCACTTACACATAGACATTATGCGGCTGGCTGGGTGTTTTTTTCCCCCCATGTTGTTTAAGCAGGCTTGGAGCAGGCCTGAGGAGCATTAATGTGCTGCCTCTGACAGCTGAGAGTGTTTTGCCACAGGTGTAGTTTTCCCCAGAGGACTGGGTCTGAATGCTGAAGAAGGAAGAGAATAGATGTCCTTTGTTGTCCTTGACGAGAAATGGGTGTGTAGCACTCAGCAGAGGATTTATTTAGCAGCTTGCTTATATCCATGGGGCGGTATCAAGCAGTAAAATATTAGTAAGAAATAAGTTTAGTGGGGCATTCTACTTTCACACTGCCCAGCAATAAGCTGTAAAAATCATCCCTGAAATATGCCTCCTTCTGTGATGAAGTGGGTTATAATTCACCAGACATTACTAAAAGCAGTGATATGCAAGACAAAGACAGACCACTGCAGCAGATGATGTAGGAGTAGAGAGATTACTGAGTAAGAGAAGCCAGAAGGAGAAATTACTTCTTGTGACACTAGGGAGGCACACTTCAAATTTGGCTTATAATTGTATGTACTTTACCTGTCTCTGAAATTCTCTTACATATATTAATGTTATGGCAATCTATATGAACAAAATGGGCAGTATGCCAAAGGGGGTTGTAATTTTCAAGTACCTCCATATTGTTATTGGAGAGGGGAGGAGGATATCCACTAACAGTGTAATTATGTGGCAATTCCAGGGAAATTGATTATTATTAGCTTTTTATGATCACACTAACAAAGTCAATGGTCCAAGATAAAATAGCAAAAATTAGTGCTTGAACAATACTCAGCAACAAGGTATCACCAGGTGAGAGTGGATGTATCTGAAACCAGATAATTCCTGAAAGGGAAATGGCCATCTCCCACCAATTATAACGATGGATGTGCTCTATTAAAGCCTGATCCACTTTAACGGGGACTCCCAGCATGAGAGGCCACGTAAGTATGCAATGACACATACAGTATCGAGAAGTGGGTGGGTGTTTATTCTAAATACCCACATTACTGGGGTATTTGCACCTTTAACCAACAGAGAGAATTACAGGTAGTGAATACAGATCGATTTCTTCCAGTTGGTTATTGCTTTAACAAAATCTTTTGTCACTTTTTCTAACATCCGCCTTCAGTCCCCCAAACACGGCACGGAGACTGGGTACCTGCATAGTCAGAACTATCACTTGTCAGCCATGTCTCCCCCTTTGAGGCTTCGTGGTTTTATATATAATAATTAAAAACACTTCTCTGAGATGTGAGAAGGCTTTTCTAAAAGGAGAGCAAGTTGCTGCAATACAATAGTGTAATATTTTTGAAGGTCATAATAATAAAGTAGGGGAAAGAGAATAATCATTATTGCTCTTTCTTGTAATTAGTTTGCTTTCCAATATCCCACACTGTAACTAGAACACTATTCAAGAACACCCATCACAGTGCTTAACAAGATTTAATGTACATTTATTCTTAACATGTGGAACATATAAAGATTTTATACTGAATAAATGAAATTCATTAAGCCAGAGGAAAAGGAGGAATTTACATCAAGTTTTTTCTTTTTTAACTACATTATCTTGAAATACAAATGCAGATTCTTGTCACTGAAAAATCTTTGAAGTTGTGTTTCTTCCTTTTTTTTTCCTGTATATATTTTTTGTCTGTAGACTGGTAACCATTTTCTTAAATCAATCCATACGTAACCATTTCCACACCTTGATTTATAAAGCAAATTGTGATCGGCTGCTCTCCCGAAATAGAGCATGACTTTATACATACAGAAACTTGTACATTACCCTCAGTTGTTGGTTTTCTGTGTTGGGTTTTTTCTTTTTTCTTTTTTTTTTATTATTTTTTGGAGATATGGCCCAAATGAAAGAAAAAAAATTCTACTATCACTTTGTAGATACCACATCATGAAAAAGAAACTAAAAACTTTGTACTAAAAAAAAAATGAGGGTATGTTTCATGTACAACTTCTATATACATCACGGCCCTTAGGCAATAAAAAAATATTTTAAAAAATGATTAAAGGAATTGTGAAGAACTGTCATTGTGGAAGGTCAAAAAAAAAAAAAAGATGTAGACAAGACAGTTCTGGTGAGGAAGCAATTGATGTTTAACTTCAGGTTTTGTTTAAAAATCTTTTAACTTGACTTATTTTGTTTTGTTTTGCTCCTAGCCTAATGTAACCATTTCTCCTGAGGAGAAATCAGTATTGTTTTGGATTTTGACTACTGACTGACACCCTCCTTGATCCCCTATACCTACATCACTAGAATCTTCTATTGCACAGAGCTTTGGGTGATGGTATACAAGTTTTTTTTTTATTTTTTCCTTATCTGAAAAAATAAAACACACAGGAACTTGGTATGTTGGTTATTTTTCACCTTTTTGTTTCAAAGTGGTGAGATTTTTTCCCCATCATACAATGGTTTGCCATAACATTTTTTTTAAAAAGTCACTAGTTCGCTTCCCAAAAAATATGCAATACAAACATGGAAAAGAACATTGAAAAGGATAATCTATGGAAAAAAAAAGTGTGACCTTTGAATGTACTAGACAGCAACTTTGGTTAAAAAAAAATAAAATAAAAAGATGTACTTATACACATAGACAGCAAATATTAATTTCATAACTGTTCAAATTAATAATTTCTTTAATTCCCAATTGGTAAATAGTGAATGGGGCAGAGGAGCAAAGATTCTTTTTTTTTTCCTTCTTCCTACATTGGATAAACAAGAACAGAAAACAGCCAGTTATATGTGACCCTCTAATCTCCACTCACACATGCTTGGCTTCTCACTTATGTCATAACTGCCCAATCTGAAAAAGTACATCACAGATGACAGATGCAACCAGAGAGTTCAGGACAGCAGATATTGAGATATCCAGCAAACGACCCTCGTGCAAAAGGAACTCGGAGCGGTTCTCGTCCACTCTCGCCATGGCCAGCAAGGCCTTGGCTGCCCTGCACATCATGTCTACACTAGGCGGCTCCAGAGGCGGAGGCTGCATGTGCATGAGGTTATGCTGGCTCTGCTGGTACTGGGCCATAGTGACCCCATCCTCCAGGAAGCTTATCAAGTTTCCAATGCTTCCCTTCTGCACAGCTATTGCCCTTGCTGCTAATGTGTCCCCCTGGGCAAGGTTCGATAGGAGCGCCATGGACATTTCTCGGCAGACCGGGTTTTTGCGGTCCCCAACGTACCTAACTAAAGTAGCGTAGAGTTTCTCCTGACGGCTGAACGGAGGGGTGGCCAAGATAAGGTCCACATTATTGTCCTGGATACTGAGCTTACACAGGGTCTCCAGCACAAGTCTCTGAGGCGAAAGAACTGAGTTGGGCCCCACGGTTGGAAAAGGATCCTGTGCCTCTGCAGACGGGCACACCATCCAGTGCAGCAAGCCATCCAAAATTGGCAAACAGATGCTTTCTGTGTAAGCAGACAAGTCTAGCTGCCCAGAAATGTTGGCTAATGTGACCAATGTATTATCCCTCAAGACCTCGAGGCAGTCCCACCACCATTCATCCTTGCTGCAGGCCACCCCTTTGTCCTCCTCTTCCTCTTTCTCGTAAGTCTGCGGCGCTCGCTTTCTTTCTGGATGCTCGTGGTGAAGAAGGATCAACTTTCCCAGGATCAGCACCAAGCCTGGATGTTTGGACATTTCGGTGTCATTGCCAGGCACAAAAGACAAGCTACGGACGATATTTGACACACAGATGCAGCGTTTGGCCAAGGAGTCTTGCCAGTGAGTTATGGTGCATAGAGGAGTCTCATCCCGGCTCCTTGGCTCATCCTCTAGCAGTTTAATATTCCGGTGGCTTTTGGCTTGATGGATCCCGAAGGGAAATTTACTGCTCTCTGTTTGGGAACCAGAGTTTGAGTCTTCAGGTAATGCTCCTGGCCGAGCTGAGAGGACATCATCGATGGTTGCTGTTATGCTCTTTTCTTGTTGCTCCTCAGATTCACCTTTCCCCTCGAGGTCCTTCTTTTTGCTTGGAGAGTTCAAAGGAGGAGGGGCTTTCCTGCGTGGTGGAATCTCCATCTTGCTTTCAAAGTGAGTCTGGATATGCTCAGTTGTGTCACCACCACCAAGCTGCCAGTGGAGAAGTCCACTATCAAATTCCTGAACGCGTCCAAGTTTGTCAGATCGGTCAACAACAAATAGGTTATTTTTCTTTACAATCTTTATTGGCAGCTTGTCAAATTTACTAGCTTGTTTTGGCCTCTCACTTGGATCAGCAATGGCACCAGGAGTGGAAAAAACAATGCTCTTTTCTTCTCCTTCTACCTTTTCATCCTCCCCCTCCTCCTCATCTTCATCAAAATAGTCAATACATTCGTCATTCTCATCTTTTCCAGTATCCTCTGCCAAGGACTGACTATCATCTTTCTTGGCTGCTTTGTGATCAAGTGCTTTGTGGCCTGGATCTCCCACTTCATATTCCATAAGGATTCCAAAAATGTCAATCAGGCATTTTCTAAAATATTCTACTAAAAGCTCAAGAAATCCAGACAACTGAGGGAAGAAGAAAGAAAGAACATAAAAATCACATAAGTATTTTTGTCTGCAAGAAATTTTATTAGGAACACTGATGCATACATGTGTGAATATTTCTATCATCTGGATGAGGACTTGTGGCTAGGTCCTGCATGGCAGAAGTTAATCAAAAGGAATTCTTCTAGAGTCTGTCCAAACAGTATATAATGTCAAACTATCACGGCTTCGTTTGCTTCAGCTGTAACAGCTATGAGAGGTACAGAACTTTATTAATGTCTCCTTTAAGCCACAGCAGACATCTGGCTTAGCTGTTCTGTCCCCTTGGAAGTGCCTATTACTCTTCATTTTTTGTACAGAGTACTGAAGTTCCTAACTTGGCTATTTTTTCTGATTTGTACTTTTATTAGGTAGCTCAAGTTTGCAATTCTTCCTTTCCTCCTTTGTCTCTAAAACAAAATGTCATGTAGGAACATGCAGTTCAGGGTCCAGGCACTGATAACCTAGATTAATATCTCATCTCTATTGGAATAGATCCATTTTTTGCCTGGCAGTAGTTAAAAATTGGTTTTGGAGCCTGGTGCTGTAAGTCACCCGTCAGAAACAGTTTTCATTTAGGTTTAATCTTCTTAATTAACTTGTAATCACTTTCTTATGGAAAGGCAGTAGTTGGACTTGGTATTAACTTACACTTAGTGGCTTTATTATTAAAAATTCTTTGTTGTTATGATGCATTCAGCCTAACTGTCTGGCTTTTAATGTGGGTTGTTTTTTTTTTAATTGTGGGCTAATGGGTTTTCAGTAAAATGTAGCATTTTGTCCATTCTATATTATCTTATGATTGCCAGCTTCTGAAAGAACTAAGAACAAACGGATGCTTATCAGGACAGCAGGAGTTACCACGCATCATATGGTCCTGGCTGCCATTGGAAACAGAGTCCAAAGCAAACATAACAAAAGAATATAGGTATTTACAATATGTCTGGTATTCTGTGCAATTTGCATAGGGTGCATTAACCCAATTTTTGACAGAATTCAGAGAAGATTCACCTCATATAACTTCAAACACCCACACTAGTCACACACCTAACCTAATTGTCTTGATTCCTTTTATAATCAATGGTCTTTTACAGGCCATTTCTAGGGTGTGATTCATCTGACCTATTTTAGATCTCTTCTTCTGGGTGAGATAAATCATGCTATAGATATCTCTAGTTCTAAAGTCAGGTGGGATGTAATGTACCATTTGTGTCTGTATTAAAAAAAAAAGTCATTATATTTAAAAAATTATGAGTTACACTATTAGTAACCAAGGAATGAATGGAGGAGAGAAACTGAATATTTAATTTGTACAAATTTTAGATGATGTGAATTATCAGCATGCCATCTATTACTACCACCTAACAGGCAAATGATTAGAGCAGAGCTGAAAAATGCTGGGAGGCAGTGAGGCAAAAGCCCACACTGTTAAATCCTGTGTTGCTAGTATCCTACAGATAGACAGTGGATTTTAGCCTTTAAATTGTCAATTTGTTATTCCTGTGAAAACTTAATTCACTGGAAAAAGAAACCGAACAGAAAATAAGCAATTAAATAAAATCCCACAGTCTCACATGAAGTACTGAACAGGACAAGTTGTCACCAAAAACAGCCTTCAAATCAGTTTAATTTAGTTTTGCAAAGTCTTTAAAGAAACACATTAAGAAAGATTACTAACCTACTGCTGTTTTGAGGGATTATACTATCGTATGTGAATTTACACATTAGTCTTTTGGCAGTGCTAAAATTCTTATATTCCTACATGCTCCTTTCTACAAGAAATATCCTTTTTTCAGGCTTCTTTATTTCCTCTATGTGACCTATATCTCTCTTGTTACTCACTGTTACCAAGCATAAACAAGTGCAAGTTTTTCAATATTAAAATTTATGTTAATTAGAATAAATTGGAAAAGCCAGCAGCACTTTTGTTTCACTTTTCTTTCACTTATTTCACTTTTCCTTATTTCACTTTTCTTTCCCTGGAAAGTTGAGAAGTATAATGCTTTCCCACCTACCTGAGAGAGGTTGAAAGTAGCAACAGTGCTGTCATCATACAGAAGAATATTAATAGTGTCTAGCGCCCAGGTACTTTCAGCCAAAAGGCCAGATTTAAGAGACATCATCACTCTCCAGGCCTCAGGAGTTACTGGAGAAAGAAAGAGGGAGAAGTAAAACAGTATTAGTGCACCCTTGGAGACTGTTAATGAGTTCTGAAAGATAAACTGTGATATTCTGAGGATGCAAATTCAAGTTAAATGGTTAAGACCCTATTTTCACTGCTTAGTTCTGTTCAGTTTTCTCTAACTGCTGCTAAGCCTTACTGCTGGAGAATATTCTAGCAGGGCCATTCTTGCTGACACTGCTGAACCTGAAATAATCATACAAACTTAAAGAACTTGACTAACTCAATTCATCAGTAAACAAAGGCAGACTTCCCTGTTCAGGAATGTGGAAATCTGAAGTATGAGACCTTGAATGGATGCAATGTAACCAAAATTTAAGGTAAGAAAAAACTTGGGGATCTTTTTAAGAATTAGGGGAGACACAAACAGGACAAATACTATGGAATGATTAAATGGACCACTCAAGGAAAGCAGAGACTGCAACTACACAGCAGAACAGCATGAGCTTCCATGGAACAAAAACATGGAAAGCTTTGCTAAGCTAAATGCTGTACCGGTGATTTAACAGACATTCTAAAGGACCTTTCAACACATCTCATTTTGAAATCTGAGGTAAGCTTCATTTTTAATGCATTTGTGAAGACCTCAAGTCTCCATATAAAATATTGCTTTCATTTCATGTCAGATTGTCTGGGATGAGTTTTACCTATCATCCTCACCGAGGCACATGTTATCACATTTTTATTGAAGAAAATCACATTGTAGTTACCAAAGTTCACTATTTGTCAAGAGTGTCTTAAGATGTAAAAAAAAAAAAAAAAACAGAATCAAAGTCCCTTTCCTCACAATTTCTATTAGGTTTTGTTTTGATGCTTACCAATATCTTTTGAGGTAATTTTTCGTCTTGGTTTTAAGACTGGTTGGGATGCTTCTACAGAGCCTGGGGGGAAGGTGATCTCTCGTCTAATTGGTGGTGGTTGGGGTGGAGGTCCTGTGACCTGTGACACTGGAACTGTGGGTATAACCTTTTGCATCTTCATGGAGGGTAGGAAAGGAGACTTGCTTGGAGACATACGGTTTTCCAAAGAGCGCTGGAAGGATGCTGGGCTTGGAGCTCTGGAGATGTGGTTTGGCATAGAGGGTGGTGTCTGGTAGGATGACTGAGGAGGTCTAGTGATAGGCTGCATGGAGGCTGAGGATGACATATAAGAAGGCTGCCGTTGGTTGACATGAGAAGGCCACTGACTCTCGTGGTTTATCCTCTGGTCAGGTACCATCATATCATCAGTGCGATTCATCCCTGGATACGGAGGGGCCTGTGCAGGGCCTCCTGGACCTTGTCTGTTCTGGTAAGGGTAAGGCATATCATTTCGTGTTGGCCACATGTTCTGCTGAGGACCTTCACCGGAGGATGACGACTGCATGGGGCCACCAATCATCTGGGGAGGTATTCCATGCTGCTGCATTTGTCCTGGGCCCTGCATCCTCTCCCTGTTATATGGATATGGGTACTGTCCCTGCATGGGCCTCCTGTCAGGCCCTGTGTAAGCGTTGCCGTACTGGTTATACATTTCCTGCTGCTGGTTGCCATACTGCATGTTATACATATCCCCTTCGTGGCGTTTGGCTGGAGGCCCATACATGCCATCCATGTGTCTCTTGTAGTTCTGAAAGAAAATTTTGGAAAGATGTGTCACTTTTACTCCACACACAATACAAATACACTGGATGAAAGCTCATTCAAAAAGCCGAAGGCACTTAGTTTTAGAGGGATCGTGCCGACTCCAGAGTCAGGCATACAGTGCTATGGTTAGGCTTCATCCAGTGCTTTCTTTTTAAGCCTCTGTTTTGCTGTGCTTATAACTGAATACTAAAAGGAAGCTTATCCTTGGGCGAAATTTTCTTATGCTTGCTCTAGTTTTTTCCCTTTCCTTCCTCATCTTGTCAGATTAAATTCCACTGGTCATTTCAGACATGCATGAAAAGGCAACAGTTCTCACCAACTAAAATATTTTCACTTCTTTTTTATGCTTATTCTACTAAGACGAAAAATCTTTAAAAAAATTCAAAACCACCTAGTGAATCTTTTCAAGAGACAAGTACTGAATAAACTCTTAAAGTAACAAGATATGCTTCAAGCATGCATGTCTGAAACACTGGATCTTACAATATGACATAGGCTACAGACAGTAAAATTATTAATAGGAGAAAACAATCTGCTGCATTTGATACTCTGTGTAATTCCCAGGAATATGGTCCTCTTTGGGCAACTGTCTTCTTCCCAAATCACCCTAATCACATTTAATTTACTGTGAGATTATTACAGCAAATGGTCATATCCAAACATTCTGTTCTAGTTTATGCAGGTTCTTACCCTGCTGTTCTGTAATGAATTAAGTGATGTAACTAACAGCTGCCACCTATGGTTTATTCCCTCTTTGTTTCATATTCAAAGGGGGAATGTTGTGTGAGGTAAGCTACCTCGGGGAGAGCTGAGTGGGTTTTTAAACCATACAAGCTTGAATGTATTTATATTTAAGATGCCAGAACAAAAAAAAAAGACATGTTGCTCTTTGAGGGGAAGGTGATAAGGTTTGCAGCCGTCCTTAGTTCCTGTGGGAGTTTGTTCCACAGTTCAAACCACACTGAGTGCTCTGAAGCAAAAAATGTGAATTAAATGGGTGATTTTTGAATATATGATCTATGGCAAATTCAAAGTTACAGCTCCCCCGGAAACTCAGTAGCTCAGTAGCATTGTACAATGTATACTAATGTACTAGAGTTAAGATCAAATAAAATTCTCTCTGTATTCAATACGGGAAAGTTAAAACAGCTCTGGGATTCATAAAGTCATCTTCCAACTTTGGTGCACATAAAACCACAACTACTGTATTGTATGAAAGTATGTTTTAAAAAACTTGCTATCAAGCTTTCTGGCTATCTGAGAAATACCTATTTCCAGCCTTACATGCACTACTTGCTGTACTAAATTTCACTTTTGGGGCCAATTTATACATTAAGAAATGACTTGGCAGCAGCCACACCTAAGAAGGTTGTGTTTGTTTTGCCACAGTGACTCAGTGCTTACAGCAGACACTTGGGAATGAAGCATGTGCCTTTCTAAAAGCACTCCAGCACCCTGGTACATGCAGGGTCAACGTGCCCTGTGGTCCCCAGTGCGGAGGACAGGGATGCACCTGAGCTCCTCCCTGCTGTGGACATGCTCACAGGACACTGAGATGGCACAACGTGTCCCTCTCTCCACCGAGATGTGGAATTCTGAGACCTCACAGAGGACAAAAAGCCACCAACACAGGTCACCTGCTGCATAATAGCCCTTGGGATGTAAGCATTCATACAGGAATTGGAAAACCTGGCTCCAAGTGTTTCATTAGCCCTAGGAGTTCATGCTTCAATCACCTCCTTTGCAGGTCATTCCCTAGCCTTCGGGATGTAGATAAAGCTTTGAAAGGGTCATTTTTCACATTCCTCCTGTACCACTACAGAGTAAGATTTAGGAAATTGTAAATAAGCTACTGGCAACAGAATCTCTAGCTAAATGAAGAAGTGGAATCCTCTGGGGATGGGAGAGACGGAGGCTGGTCAGGATCCTTGTCCTTCACTCTCCACTGCTTTTCTACATTAATGCATTTTGCATTCAAGAGTCATTGTACAAAATATATAAACAGCACTTAGGAGAGGGCCAAATATATTTTTACGAATTCTAGCTGTCTCCTTGCTTAAATGAACATGTAGTTAATATATTCCCTGCACACGTTAGCATGGAATATCACAAACTGTTCTGTTATACATCTTTGCAATTTCCCCACTAAATCACCTAGACTGCTAGCATATGCTTGTCATAAAAAAACAACAAAACAGTTTTCCGATTATGCCATTTTTGAGATGTTATGAACCAAAGAGATAAGCAAGAAATTCTGAAATTTAAATTTATGTTTGTTTTTAGTACAGTGCAGTCTAAGATCTCTTTTGGTTTCTCCCCACAGCACTCCCAACTCCTGACACCAATTTCCTAGTTTAAACTCTATCCCAAACTGAAAAGAACGATCTGAAATTGGCTCTAAACTAGTTTACATTTCAGGTTTTTTATACTAAGGAAATGCTTTCTATTCTAGAAGCCAACTTCAAGTATTGTATAACTAGAACTGAATTAATAACACGTAGAATGAAACTGATCCTGTTGAACTCCTGTCAGTGGAGTTTTTTGCTATTGACTTCTAAGGTGGGATTTTGCTCACAAGGTATTAATCATACATGTAACAAAAAAAATCTTATTAATTAATATAATTTGTATTTTTGAGTTATAAGAGTTGGGGAGATTGCAATGTACAAATGTTTAAACTATTTTTTAACACAAATAACATTCTCTCTTACATATTTGTACCATATTATTTAATAGAGACATCATGTGGGAATATGCCCTCTGATCCATATTAAAGAAAGGTATCTCATATGACCCACCACAGCACTGAAAATAATTGAGAGTGCTGCTCATTTTACTTTGTTCCAGTTCTCTGTTGGGTTCACTTGGCTGCATGACATTAAGTTAAGGCCCTTGAACCTGCCATCCAAACCACTTCTCTATTTGTTCCTTCACTTCTATTTGCCACTTCACTTGTCTGTGCTTTATACTTTCCCAGTCTGCTAGTTATTAACTTGGGACAACCACTTGATGCACATCCAAAGCCATAGAACATCTGCTAGAATTTACACTCTTCCAGTGTAATGAACACATTTTCCTACAGCTGCACATACATTGCTTATCCATACAGGCTGTGACTTTGACCAGAACTACAGTGCTCCTCTGTGCCAAAAGACTTACACTATAAAAACAAATTTTCCAATGTATACAGAATCCTGGGGTGAACTTTTTTAAAGAAATGTTATGAACATAGCCATTTTCCCCTCTACTACCTGCTGCTGTGGATACATTCCAGGTTGATGTCCTCCATATGGTGGCTGTCCTGAGGGAGGTCCTTGTCCTGGATACTGCTGCCCATACGGTTCATGCCTAAAATAAAGATTCAAATCAACACTTAGACCTGCTGGAGTTTTCAAGCCACCAGGAAAAGTAAAGTCCTCTGAAAATCTTGCACCTTGAAGGTATCTGCCATCTGGAAACAAGGTGAAGGTACAGTCTGGTGTAGTCCTGAGCCTGAGGTAGTAAGCTCTGCTGGAGCCAGTAGTGGAAGGAAGGAGGTAAAGTAGATAGAAGAAAGGACTAGCAGTGAAGATACAACAGAGATTTAGAGGGAGCAATCAGGAACAGGAAGGGGGTATGGTCAGCAAAAAGGTAAGAAAGGCAGCTGCAGACATGGGGAGTCCTTGGTGGGGAAGTATCTGGTGTACAGCTCGAAGGCTGCAGGTAAAAATTCTTGTGTTTTAGAATGCCAGCCTAGCAAGTTACTTTCTGGATTATTCAAGAATATATCAATTTAAAGTGAGCAAAAACAGTACTCATAATTTTGCTAATGTTCATGTAATTTTTAATTAAAACTACATAATGAAGCATACACAGTAAGAGAGAAAGTTGTGTTGCAGTTGGAAACTTACCTGTGGCCTTTAAGACCCTGAGGAGCACTACAGTGCAATATTTTTAGCACATCTGAATGAAATTTAAGTTGCTGAAATCAAGTACTTGGAAAACATTAAGATTGGTAAATAACATTGTATTGCAGGCTAATACGTCAGTAATTCGTCTCTGTAGAACCAGTGAGAACACATCAACAATTAGAGGATAATTATGGAAATAATGTATCAGGGAAAGTCACAGAAACAGAGAACTGGGGAACCTGACATGTTAAAAGAACTAATGGGACCTTATTTCTCCAAAAGCATAGAAAACTAGTTTTTTTTTAAAAAAGAGATGAGCAGAGAGAAAGAAATAGAAATTCAGTATCTCCTAAAATTATGACATGGATGGAGAGAAATTATCCAATGCCAGTTAAAAGAACAATGTAAACTCCCCAATGTAAATGGGCAGTTGTCTGTAGCTGTCCAAGAGCACATGAAGTAAGATAAAATTCAGCAAAGGTAAACATATGTTATACATAAGGGAAGACTTTCTAAAATGTTCAGTTTGTTAGCCACAGGATAACCACAAGCCAGGTGAAATTGCGGAAACTTCAGAAGTGGTACCATTTAATGCTGCTCTGGAAAACTTGGGCCTGTAAGCTATGTTCTAGTCCTGTGCTGAGCAGCAGATACACAAGGCAGGATGTACATTCCATTTCTAACATCTCTGATTCTACTACTATAGAAAGTCAGCTGACTCACAAAAGCCTCTGCTCCTCTGCAAGAAAACTGAACCAATGGTAAAAACCTAAACAAGAAAGCAAAACAGAAGTAGCACACCAAGAGGCCACACGCTCTGCCTACGTGCTCTCACAGAGGCTGCTGGCTGCTTAGCTGGTGCTGTCGGTATTAAAGACAGAGAAATCAGTGTTTGCCTTTGCTGGCCAGGGTAACAATTAGGAGAGTTCATGCTTGGGTCACTGTTTGAAGGCACCATGTTGCTTTGACCAGGTGGTACCATGCTACCTTTAGGACCCAGATCATGATCCGACCTAAAAACAGCAAAGGAAACCTCATTCCGTAAAAAGTACTTATTTTCCAAAATTGCCAACAAAATAAAATAAATCACGCCCCTTAAAGAAAACATTCTCTTGACTACACCCTCCATACTGGAGCCCTTACTCTCACCAACTGCCCTGCAATGTGACCTATTGAACAGCATGATTAAATTTGTTTTACTTGACATATCTACTGCTTAAAACTACTGACTGAAAACTACTCTGCCCTTACACTTTAAAGACCCACACTGCACCACTCTGTCTACCATCAGGAAACAAAAAGAGAAGCTAAGTACACAGCCTAATGAAAGTAAAAGCAGCAAAATCTTCCAGAATACTTAATATAATCCAAACATTCCCAAAACATTCTGCTTGCTCTACCAATGCTTAGACATCAGTGATTTTACCACTTTTTTTCCAAATCCTTTCCCCAGATAAACAAGAGGACCAAATTTATTTCATGTACTTCACTGAAATACAAACTTAGGAGAATCCTGTTGGACACACTGCAAGACTCTGCAACACTGCTACAGCTCTGACAACAGACTCCAGACTCTCCAAAGGCAATTCACCCACAGATCACAAATCAGACTGTGCATTTTGTTTTTCATTAAAAGTCAGCCAGCAACTGTTTAGGTAAAAACATGGCCAGGAGACCAACTCAAGTGCTACTTTATGCCATCACAGCCCAGCCCAGCCACCAGCTGAAGGCAGCTGTTAAAGACACCAACGAGCTGATTTGCTGCAGCCCCAGTGACTTCTAAGATGTGACAATTCCTCCTTATTAATTTCTGCGAACAGCTAGACTCAGTCATTACCAGTGGTTTGACTCTCAGTGATTTAGTAAGATGCTGTAGGAAATGTAGGCTGCTATGTTCTCTGCAAGATGGAATGGGAACATGAAAAGGGAAGAGAGAGGATCATTTTCACTAATGGGCTTTGCTTTTTCCTGAAGATTGACTCACCTCCTGTCATAGCCACTTCCATAAGAGAACTGCTGTCGCTGGCTCATGCTCATGTTGGACATTGCTCCAGATGGACTCTGGTTATACATATCTTGTATTCCACTGTTAGGCATTTGTCCAGGGGTCATGAAAGGCTCATTGCTTCCAGGCACTGCAACAGTGACATTAAATTTATTAATCTGGGTGTTTGAAGATCACTTTCTTTTCAATGAAGTATTTTAGGAGAATGTTCAGATCCCTAATACTGACAAGGAGAATTCGCAGGTTTCTAACAAGCTCTTTGGTGTCTAATGGGAACACATGAAGCACTACCACTACCAAGATGATGGATATAATATTAAGGAGCTGCAAGTGAGGAAAGAAATTTCCTCCTATGGAACTGAGCTATCAGGAACCAGGCAGCTGCTTCTCTCTGGTCTTCACAGCTGAAGATGAACTTACTCTTGATCTTTTCACTGAAAACAATGCTAAAAATGAACGCAAACATAAGCCTTACAAAACAGATGAAAGCAAATCTGCTGGTTTGAACTACAAAGCTGTCAGAATCAAGCTTTTATTTTCCCCCATAAAACCCTCATACACACATATACAATAAGTTGTTATGGAAAGGATACTGTATCCTTTGGATACTGTAATGTAGCTTCTCAAGTAGGATGGGCATATTCTATGGGTCCAAGGAAAGACACTATTATCAGATATAAATCACCAAGCAAATAGAAGAGACTCTAGCCTTTAGTCCCTCGTAGTAGATACTGAACAGAGATATTTCTGTTTTGACAGGATGAAGTGAAATGTATGACAAAGTACAATACACCCACTTAATGTCATATGGACATAAAACCTAAAGTGAATCTAAAGCAGAGAGTCTTCCCTTCCTTCAACTGTTTTATATGTTAGTGTCCACAGTCCAGACAAAAGGATTTAGAAGAAAGGCTTTAAAAAAAAAAAACATGTCCAATTAACTACCTCTTTTAAAGCATCTCCCCACTTCATCACATCTCTCTCCTCAGTTTCAGGGCCTCTTCTTGCCATATCTCCCTTTTGCTCTGTTTTAGTTTACACTTCATCTCCTCCACCTGCTTTTCTCTTTACAGCCATTGTGAGCCCTGCCTGTGCTCTTTCCTCCTACTCTCCTATAACCGAGGCACGCAAGATTGATTCATTTTAAGATCATTTTACAATATCCACAAAACCAGCTGTAGGTTAAGTACCCAAAAGGACCAGAGTCAATTTTGACACTAATTTTAGATTTTGCTTTCTAAAAATAAACAAACTTTGAGTGTGTTTATCCCCTTTTGTCAGAGACTGCCCAAGTAAGAAAAAAATTATCTTTACTTTTCTGAAAAATATGTAAACTAAGACAGAGAGCATTGGGAGGCTTGCTCAGTTTCACACAGTGACTTCCCAGATCAGTCCTACTACAACCACATATGTTGCTTCACCACTTCACATTCTAACAGTGAAGTCCAGAACTTGATTTGCAGAGTAGCTAACCAGCCTCAAGAAATATAAAATATAACCCTATGATTTATGCCATTTCCCAAAATGTATTCCTACAAGTATTTTTAGGATTCTGTTAATTGCAAAATAATGGGCATGAATCTTTAGTGGGGAAAATATGACTAACCAGAAACTCAGCTGCATTGCACCTCACTTTTTGCTATAAGGATGCCAATGGCAAAATCGTCAAAGTGAAAAAGCTCATTCTGACTACAACATCTTGATTACCTAAGACACTGGGAAGAACACTTGAGCTCCCACAAAGAAAATAGAAAATACCTTTTCTCATTCCACCGAAAGGATCTTTATTCGGCTCATATGGCATCCTTCCCATCATATCTGGCATGTTTATTCCCTGCTGGTATGGTGCATTTGGCGTCATGGAGTTTCGCTTTGGGAACGCTGAATCACTTACATCAGAAAAGGGATCATGCACACTGACGGCGCTGTTTCTAGCAGATTAAGAAAAAAGAAACATTAACATCACCCTGTATTCATAAGTGTGAAAACAGCCTAGACTACAATACAACTAGCTCAACGTGCTGTGGCAGTGATCAATGCAGGATACATCCAAGGAAGATGCAAAAGATTTTCGCAGTGGACAATCATTAAAAAGAATCTATCCACGTTTTCCCCAAGCTTCTTTATCTACTTACCTTAGAGATCAGGGTTTTTCATCTAATTCTATTGCTTGTGCATTCCTATTACTCATATAAAAGTCTAAACTGTCCTGAAATTTCACTAAGCTGTTTTGTTCTTTTTTACCTAGAAAACTCAATCTGAATTGAAGATGATTAAAAAAGGTTCTTGCTATCCTTTCTGTAGAATTACAGATGGAGAAAAAGAGAACCTAAGTAAATTAAGTTTGGAGTGGCTCTGTACACAGTTCAGAGCTCAGTCGTGTTCCTGCTGAAATCATAAAGAACTGTTTTGCTGGACTTCAGTGGACTAAGGCTGCTTAATGAATGGTAAGACAGCTTCACTTTAGATTAAGCTGGTCTATGAGACTTACAGAGCACAGAACTGAAAAGGATCTCTTGGTCCATTCCGTTGAAACCAATGCTTTTAGAATATGCTTTTCACACTTTGAATTCAAGTAACCCCTTTAAACCTCGTCTCTCCTTCTGGAGCATGAGTGGATCTGTTGACCAGAGGTGTATAGGATAAGCAAGCAAAGGAATGTCGTGGTTCTAAGTTGGTGCTATTGGGTTCCACCTTCCTCCCCACTACTGACATATTCACATGCATCTCTGTGCACTGATGCTTGTCTGATCCTCCTCTGGTGTTTAGAAAGCCAATGGACCTCTACTCTTTCCTCCCTTTCCCTCTCTCTCCCCCAAAAAGAAATAATTTTCTGCCACTTTTCAGGCTCTGACTGGTTTACCAAAAATCCTACAAGTGCCTAAGCAGCTGGGAAAGCCAGATTAAACTGCTGTAGCACTAGAGCAATAAAAAACGAAGCAATGCCCTTTTCATACCTGCCACCCTGCATAGGTGTCATCTGTCCATGAGGTGTGGATGCTGGTGTTGGGGGCTTCAAATCGCCTGGCACTTCTGTCATGGAATTACTACCAGTGGACTGTGGAGTCTGTGGGCCTTGCAAGGAACCAGAATTAGCTGAAAAATTGAAAAAAAAAAAGTAATTATGAAAAGGTAGCAGCCAAATTCCTGTGGAAATAATAATCATAAAGGAAAAAGAATGGTTCTTTCCTCCAGAAGCCTGTGTGTACCTTAATCCATCTAAGTACTTTATAACTTCCCCCAAATCCTCTGAGATCAGGATATGCTGTGTAGTAATAGCCATCATCTTTCCTAGAACCATGAATTTAATCTGCTGCCTGAAGCAACATGGGTAGAAATCATCCAGATGAAGGATCATTTAAATCAGAGGTCAGAGATACAAAGTTAATTGTCTGTAGTTTACAACAGAGTAAATGAAAGTTGTTCTTTGGCATAGCTTCTTCATATAATCACTATCACAACACATGCATTTATAAGAAACATTTCAGCCAGAAGCTTTCCATCATAAATTTAAGCTGCTATATTGATATAAATTCACAGTTTTATTTAGCACTAAAAGGCAGACATTTCCATGGTGAAACATAGCAAATGATTAGTGGCACACTGCAATCCCATGTCATCTTTGAGACAGCATGGCAAAAGATGGTTTTTAAGAAATGCAGAAGGCAATCTGGGATCAGATTATGAAAACAATAACTGAAACTAGAATTTGAACAGGAGGCTACAGATAGTACTCCTAAAAAAACTGTAAAAATAGAAAAGGACATCTTAACAAAATGTTAGTTAGGGTCCCTGATGGTAAGGCACACGTAACAAGACCAGGTCAATTCTGCAAAGCGTCTGTTTAATCTGCAAAAACTTACTTGTTGAGATCTCAGAAAGCAAGAGTATCTGCACTAGTGTCCTCCTTAATGGAGGTAAACAGCTTGATATTCTTGGTATAACAAATGCAGAAGAGCATTTTACTGTTGTGTTCCGATGTGACTGAGCAGCAATAAGGGCATTAAATGAATACATCAGATATTGGCAATGGTAAAACTAATGGTAAAATACATCCAGACCAGTCTTCCAGAGTAGACACCAAAGCTACTGTTTTCTTGTGACTACTGAACAGAAACATACTCTGAGCCCAAAGCTCTACAAATGAGTTTTATGATTTAGAAGGTGTTAAGCGAGGATTAGTAACAACATCTAAGCCTCGGATCTGACAGGTCTTACAGCAGAAATACTATGGAAGGAGAACTTGTAGGATTCAAGTCTTTTGATGCAACTGGGAAAAAAACTTAACAACAGAAAAAATTCACAAATCTAACACACTGAGTAGGACATGGATTTGGTTTGAGAGGTCCTTCTTTTTTATGAACTGTCATGTAAGTGGTTTTATTGTGCCTGCATATCTATGTTCAACAACCAATTAACAAAACTTTATAAATTACTGTCAGAAGGAAAATTGGAAAAAGTAGTATGGGTTTTTCTTCTGTGTATGAAAGAGAGTAGTTTATAATTGACTCAGAATCCTAGAACACTCATCATCCTGACAGGCAGAGCTTGTTTTTAACTGAAGAACACCTTTTTTATATGTGTTTCATTTATATCTGTAACACATGTTCCCCTATCTGGCAATCAGTCTCAGTAGCAAGTGCATATGCAAAATCCACATTGTGTGGACCACACTGCTCTTGTGCTCAGCTTTCTGAGACATCTTTGAATTATACTTACATAGTAATAAGGTTCAAAAAAAAGTTTAGGAAAAGCTCTATGATTGCATTAATACAGGAACAAGAACATTTGCAACAACTAATGCTAGAGTTTCCTGAAGGCTTTAGTGCTATAATAAAACAAAAACCCATCATATTCACAGAAAATGAGCTCTTTGTATATATGACCCCCAAGCAGGTCAAGATCATTCTTCTACACTTGAGCTTTAAACACAATTCTAGATTCTCCTAAAAAGCTTGAAAACATTTCTGAGTTTGCCAGTTTGTCACATACATCTTGCTGTATTAGAAACATGTAAGTAAACATCTTAGTGTACCCATATACTTACTGTAAATTTGGATACTGCCTAACCCTGCGTATTTCTCTTACAGTGGGCTACTAAGAAGCAATTAAGCTTTTCCCTATCCTACCTGAGCAAGAGCTTAATTCATGTCTCTAGCAAACCTAAAGGAAAAAAGTAAAAGACTTTTCAGTATTTACGGGCTGCAGGAGTGCAAAATTGTTAGTAACAATGTGTTTCATATAATCTTACATGAAGAAAGATTTACAAGAAAAAAGAAGATACCCAATTGAGAAGCTACAGGTCCAATTTCTATCTTCAGGGTGGCAGTTATAACGTTGGTTACTTTTCCTCAAGCCTCTTTCTAAATGACTGGTTATATACAGGTGAAAAATTGGAAGGCAAATGCTGTCATGAGTAGTGCAACATTTCTGGTGCTGCTTTGTTAATACACTTTGCCCCTGACCTCCATTGGATTAGGGACACTTACACAGAATAGGAACTGCAAGTGTTTCAGTCTCTGGATTAGGACTCCATCTACTAAGAAGAGCCTGTATTTCTTATTTTTTTTCCTTAATTTTACATTTGCTAGGCTGCACTCTGAAATTTTTACATCTATTTTTGCAGGGGTTTTATTATGTTAGATATTTAATTTTGATTGTGGACATTCTGAAAGAGAAACAGTATCTTTTAGAGTGCTTCACACGCTTCAGTATTAAAACCAAGCTCTAAGAAGGAAGACAAACAACAATGCTCTTTTAGGAAAAGTAATTTCTGCATACATGATTCTGCAGCTATCTTGGGGATGTCCAGGAAAAAGAACCCTGTGGGTTCATAGCTACTGAACTCCTCATCTCACATCCACATCTAAGCAATAATTGTCTTTCAAGCTTTATAACAGATTTGTAAGAATATGCTTTTCACAATACAAAATACATCAAAACTTAAATACAATTGACATCTCGGTCAGTGAAAAGGTGAGGTCTTCCACAGTTTCCTGTGGAAGCACATGTTAATAACACATGATAGCATGCATTATTCTCTGCAACCTGGAATTATAGTACTGGCATGCCTTTTGCCTTGCAAAGCCTGCATGGCAGTAAGTACTGCTTTCAGGAAAGACCCTTTATTTACCAGAGAAGAAAAATGCAGCTAAAAAAAACCAAACATATAAAACCCTTCCCTTGCCAGCAATTTTTTCCCTTTGGAAAAAAAAAAAAAGAAAAAGGAAAGAAGAATGAAACCTCTTGAAACTTCATTAATGTGAGGCTTGACATGCTTTCTAGGATATCCCTACCTTTTGCCAGAAGCTACAAATGTATACTCTAAAGTAAACAATGGAAAGGTTACTGAAGGTTAAGTACATTCACATACTTCAGAGTGAACAGCCAGCCACCACGCTGGGAAGATAATTTACACAGCACGAACCCAGTGCCCCAGTTAGGCTGGACTGGGGGCTGCTGGCTGCTGCAGGGCCCCCCGGGCAGGGATGGATGCAGGCACAGGGACACCTCTGCCTGTCCCCCCTCCCAACCCCTGGCCCATCCATCTTCAGTGGGGATTCCCTGGCTGGCCTCATGACACGCTCCATGACATCACCTGCCTGCTAATAATAGCACTCCAGTCAGCCACCCGCCAGCAGAGACGGATGGGTTTGGTTACAGACGCCCTCACTGAATGGCTGTGTCCTGCCGTGCCGTGTCGTGTCCCCCACCATCCCCCTCCCCAAGTCTCCTTTCTCTGCTGCCAAGGAAACGCAGGCAACACACTCCTGGAGCCTTCTCGTTCCCTCTTCCCAGCACAAGCGTAGGATTTTTCCAGGTTTGCTTTAATGAAATCTCTGTTGGCATCAGGACCAGCCGCTGTTACTCACAAGCATCCTCAGCTGGACCACTTTGGCCATCCTGTTCATTCAGAACAGGATAAACTCTGAGCTTGAGAGTTGTGCACGTATAACCACACACTGCAACTAAGAATTCAGAGTGCCAGAGTACACCAACAGAAGATAACTCCTTCATGCTGAGGCTTTTTTGGATTTTTTTTCCTCCAGCATCCATTAGTGCTTACAGTAATGGTGCCCATAATTCTTCTCAGTTTAGAACTTCTCACATTATTTGTGAACATTAAAGCTATCAAATGCACATGACAGGAAAAGCACTGACTTTGCACCCACTTCTGGAAAGAAGGAAGACCTACAATGCTTCTCTCTAAGGGAGTTTTCATGCAGTGAAAGCCATCAGCAGTTGAGATGGACCTTGGCACAGATCCAGTGATCAGGGATCCTCCAATAGTTATTCTGTCACTGGGCATTTGCTGCAAGCCTCCACTGCTGATGGTGTTACCTGACCCAGGTAGATTTAAGCTGACACGAAGTCCTCAGCCTACCACAAACACATCACAGCCTCAGAGCAGTGCAAGGCACACTAAAACATTCAGGCCCTCACCCCTCCCCAGGAGCTTTATGAAATAGCAGAAGAGGCTCTGACAGTGATATGAAGAGCTACTGAAATGAGCACCTAATCCTAACCCTAACACCTTGGCTACTGTGCAAATCTCTGCTGATCAAGGCCAACCAGTCTGTCACTTTGCTGCTCTACTTTTTTCAACTTCTTGTAATTGTTGACACTATCATGAATTTCATTGTACATAATATTAAATTATTCACTCCTTTATGTACCATTTACCTTATTAATCATATTGTAAAAACAGAATTGATGGGAGAATCCCAAATATAGTGCTACAAGCAAATGGACAAACACATGATCCCAGACCACTGTCTCACAGTCCCATAAATTTGACTTACACATCACATCCTCTTCTGGACTGTGCTCTTCCATACGAATCTCCTCGCCATGGCTGTCACACTGTGTTTCCTAGCACTCCCTCTATGCCTGCATTCTAAAGGTCATCTGTGAGGCAGTCACATAACCACCCCTTGGATGTGAGATATCTGCAAGAACAGATTTGCTCTAAGCTGCACCTCAGCCTGCTCCCACCTTGCATAACCACCCACCTGGGAGCTACGACAACATTGGAACTGAATCCTTCTCTGTACCATAAAGGCTGCCAGTTCTGATATATTCTTATGAGTGACTGAAATATTAAATTTTAAAAATTTTATGAAGATCGGCTGACTTGTTTCACAGCATCAGCTTGTCAGAACTGGACAAAATACAACACCCTCTCCTCTGAGACAGGTCCCTCTGCTTTTCTAACAGATTAACTTCAGCCCTAATACTGTAAATAGTTCTCTGCAAATGGATTTGGCTTCTAAGTGGCTCTGCCTACACTGAGCTAACTGCACAAGAAAGGCTAATGGTTAAAGCAAGGACCTTTGGAGGCTACTGTTTCTTGTATTGGGCTCCTGCTCCCTCTGAATGCCAGAGTGACAGATTATCTAAAGTATGTCTACAACTTTGCTTCTTTTGTGCAGCTAAAATGTTAATGTTGGTATATACTAAAGGAAAAGGAACAAGAAAAAAAGCTGACTATTAAAGAGAACGGGCTTGTACTCTCTGAGGCATCTATACCTCAGCGGGATTTCATGTACTAAAGCTGATACACACTGGGAAAGCCTTTCTCCGTACAGAAGTGCAGTCCCATTCAGTGACACGAGCTCTTTTCTCTCCAACAAAACAAACCTTGAGATCCTTGCTTGCTTCCCCCTTTTCTAGTCTCTATGTCCTGCTGTGTTTTTATTTTAGAAAAATAGTTTCAGTTCTCCTCAAAGACAGCTTACTTGAATGTTATGATAAATTTAAACTTGGACTTTGCCATTTTCATTTGTAGCATCGTGATGCAAAAGGACCCTGTAAAGTGGTACATCTGACATTTCTATTCCTTTGTTTCAAGTTTACATATTTAAATAGCAATTCTTCATCTCAAAATTCAACTGATTCATGGTGATCATGCCCAAATCAACTACTGAGAGCAGTATTGGAGAGAGAAGGTAAGGGAGGAGAGAACAAAGCATAATACTCTTCCATTTTTAGAGACAGATTAATTTCTTCTTCACTGTCCTTAAAAAGTCTAACCATTTCACTTCCCTCACCAGTCTTCTCAGGAGGTGACGGGCACCTCCAACAAATATTGTTTTTGTTCAGCTGTGCATATTCAGGACACTCCGTGCTTATTTCAGACAGATAAACATTTGGACTATGGGCTTTACTTCTAGTACCAAGTATTCTTTTCTATCTTCTAAACTTGAATTGCAAAGTAACCTAATCTCCTCTCTATTTAACAATCACCACAGGGGTACCTGATAACCCTAGGTTTTAATAAGGTGGAGGAAATATTTAAGTTATTACACAGAGATGTGCTTAGGAAGATTTTAACTAAACACTCACTCAAATCCTTACACTGAATAAAACAGACTGAGAAAGATTTAAGCCTTATCACTGTTATCTTTTTCTGTAATGAGAAAGCACTATTGTAAGAGATAATCTTGGAAAGGCCAGAACTTTATTATACGATTATAAAGGTCTTTGCAATTTTCTAGTGTCCATGATAGGGTACTGAAGTCATGCAATTGCAGACTGTCTGCAGGGCTTGCTGGGTCTCTGACTCCCCACTTCCCATTTTCAGCCAGTGAACTGCACTAACAGAAATTAAATTAATTAATATTTTCCTAAATCTGTGTTCTACTGCAGGAAACTGCTGTAAACATTCCAGAAATTATATTTTCTTGGCAATAAGTGACTGCGGATGTGCCTAATATGTAATTGTGGCAGTAGCTCACAAATTTTCTCAAATTGTTTTGTTGGTCAGAAAAACTAACAACAAAAGGAGTAATCCAAAATATTAAAGGATTGTTTCACTCTTCCATGGGTAGTCCAGAAGTCAACATCTAGACTAATACTATGACTCTTCCTATGTACTTAAAATGTTTCTACTTTAAAATAGTCCTGCATTGAGTATCAACTGTGACTATCAAATCTTGAGAATCTTAAGTGACATGAATTTAGAAAGAAAACAGTGGTTTCAAACACCACACTGTAAATGCAAAAAAGAACAGTCAAAATAAAGCAATCCCAGTTCCAATTATTAAGATGAGGAGATAAAAACAGTGATTCTAATGACTTACCTGACACACAAGATTAGCAACAAAAGAACAGAGAGTGTGCCTCCAAACCAGGATATCTGGCAGTGGGGATACACTGTACTCCCAGCTCTCCATCTGCCACACACTCAACACGAGCTGCACCAGAGCAACCATGTGAGACATGCTGATCAGTCCAGCATCTGCCATCCTGCTCAAACTGAAGCCTTGCTGATCAACAGTTGTGTTGAAAAGCAGCTTCAGTCACAGCAAGGAAAGTGCAGGTCCCAGAGCCTGACCTTTAGACAAATGCACGCTCCTGTCTCACAGCAGAAACACATCCGTGCAGAACTCTGTTCTTTTTACTATGCCCGTGTTCCTGAATGTTAAGGGTACGCTGGCACACACATCTTTTTATGTTGGAGTAAGCAAGGACAAACCAGACACACAACTGTGGTGGCCCTTCAGAGCCAACTCTGATTTGACTCAGGAGCTGGCTCCAAGTTTGGGAACAAGATGCCAACGACAGGTTTTTCTTTGTTTTTTCAGCATTATCAAGACACGCTTAAAAATATATAGGTTGCAACAACCTAGTATGCCTTGCATTCAAAAAATGGTTGTGTAAGAGGCTGCAGTTTATTTCACTTACCAGGAGATGGCGGCTGAATCTTAGGTTGTTTCTTCGTATCTCCAGTGCTGAAGACTTCTGGAGGGGGCTCCTCCCCTCGTTCAATCTTGCACTCGAAGGCAAACAGGTACTGAATGTATTGTTTTTTCAGGGAGCTGGCTGCGCTGCTCGAAGTGCCAACGTTCAAGGTGGTTGCCAGCTCACGCCACTTCTTGTTTTTATTAACCTACCAAAGTAAACGGCAGAATCATTGGTTTGCAGCAAAGCGTTTTGTTTAAGTCAGGAAACAAAAAAGGGGAAAAAAAAGCACTTAATGTCTTGGTTTACTTTTTTTTTATTTTCCTCTTTTAACTAATGCTCATTACTCCCACACGCAGTAATGCACAGACAGCATTTACAGTTATAAAGCCATTAAGGAACCTGCTGATAGCTACATAAAAAGCTTTGCTTGTGGAGTCTTCTGCATGGTGCATCCTTTAAATGTCTTATGCCCTTCCAGGGCCTAAGCTCTTCAGTTAGCAATCCATCTCCAAGCAAATTCCTGCTCACTCTCTCCCTCCCTGACACCCACCCACACCCACCCCATTCTAATTAAAAATCAGCTTCTAAAATATAATTTAGAAAGCAATAACAGTGTTACTCTGCAATTTGTTTGAACATTGATATGAAAAATAATTTTTTCTCCCAAATAGCCACCAGCTGTCAAACAGTTCAGCTTGTAATTCCTGGTTCAATTCCTTTCACTTTAGTGCATCTTGCAGGGACAGATCAATGATCTTCTCTCTGGCTAGATGAGAGGCAGAGTGAAGCCAGGCCCCTTAATTAATTAAGGCAGACTTCAAACACTCACGGCTAGTCCAGCAATACTCTGTATTACAATGCTGACTGCACCACTCCACTGTGAGTCTTGTTTGCAGTGTAAGGCTGAGAATATTGAAAGACTCTGCTCACAGGTTCCTCAAACACAGCTGATCTGTAATAATAACGAAGTTCATTTGTCATCCTGGGTGATGCCACTGACTCACTCAGCTGTACCACTCTTAGCAGCCACTGCTTTTGCTCTAACACCTGATGCCTTTAAGTTCATTCAACCAGTTAAGCAATTTCTAGGTTGATCCAAGGAGCAGGGTCAGCACCAAAATAAATTGGCTTTAAACATCTGAGAAATCTCATATTTTGTGGGTAGCAATTCTGATTCCATGATGTCTGCTACTTGCCCTAAGGCCTGATATTTTAATGACGCCAACTTAATTTGCATAGCTAGAAAGATTATCATTAGCCATACTATTCCTTAGTCTGTGTGCCAGCAAAGAAAACATTTTCTTAAGTTTCTCTCAGTGTTTAATAACACTGTTTAATAACTGCTGCCAGTCAGCAAGATCTTTTGAGGATGGCATTAACAGCAAGCAGGTTGGCATGGCTATGCTAAGTGTTTTTATTTCTCTGGTACATCCTGCAAGAACCCAGGAGTTAAAGGAGACCAGATTTTCATTAACTGCCCTTGTTGAGGCCTGAAATCCAGTTACACAGCTCTTTGTGCCTACTGGCTTACAGCTAAGTGGTGCGTAATGAACACATTGCATAATGCAAACAGAAACGTTCATGCCTAAATGCCCAGTATATTGGCATTTAAAAGAAGACTGCCAGCAGCTGCTCTGCTCATGTTGGGACCCCATCAATGGCAGCTCCTCAGATGGGGAATGTGCACCTCTGCTGCACAGCTCCACTCCCTGCCACTTTCCAGGCAGAATCACAAGATGTGGAGTGCAGCAGTTGGAACAACAGCTTTTTAGGAGGGCATCACACAGATGCATTTAAATAAAACTCAGCAAGCAAAGCTCTGCACCTCTGAGTATCTCTGAACAGACAAACATAGTGACCATTCATATGGGCACACCAGCAAAACCACGAGCCCTCATTTTAAGTGTAAATTTTCACCAGTACTGAAGCACATTGTAACTCAAGCTCCTTCAAAAATCAGTCCAAGGGAACAGCATCTATTCTTTGGCAAAGCATAATGTCTGTCACTGAAAATCAACACTGAATGTCCCAAAATAAAATAAATTTCCATAATAAGCAAACATGAATGACTCTCTAGAATATCCCATCTGCCCCCCATCTTGCTCAATTTTTGATGCTAAGAGTCACACTGTGGGCACAATCACACTGTACGAGGCAGAGCAGCTGCATGATACGATTTACCTGTAATAAAGTTTCTGAGCTAAAAGTAATCAAATCCATATGATGCTGAGGGGCATGAGCTGATCACTAAAAATGTCAGGGTAACATCTCTTACCAATACACAGCATTTAACAACTGGCAGAATGAACTATATTAGGTTTCTCTGCCTTCCTTTAATAATAAGAATAGCTAAAATCTCTGGATTTGAAGGGCCAATGATCTAATTCAGTACTCAAATCCTAGGTTGTGAGGTGCACTATTAAAAATAGCTTTGAAAGGGGGACTAATTGATGTTGGACATTCCTTTCCTGAACTAACTACATAGATTATGAAAATATGTTCTGTTTTTGAGAATTGGTTTGCCATATTTTTGAATTCAGATTTTGTAATTAGTGTAGAATTGTATGTTTTAATATTACATTTTATATAATATTACACATGCATATTTATCTACATATTTGCTATGCTTAAGGCCTCATTTTGCAAGGCATTGAACAAGTGTTCTCATAAACATAGAACTCATGGATCTCTGCACTAGAAACAATAGTTTCTAGTGTCTAGCCAGTGATCCCCTAGATGCAAGGGATGCTTTGCACAAGCATCAGGCAAGCACAGGTGACTTTGAATACCAAATCTCAGACTGCAAGTACTGATCATTTTCTCCTGCTTTCCCTTTAGATGCTAAACAGTGAAACATTTCATTTTGCTCTGTGGTGAACAGCCTTATAGAACTCACAAATATTTTTCCAACATCCCTTTGCAAAACTTCAAATTAACTGGTGAGAACAAAAATGAAAGCTTCTGTCTCCCATCTGTGACTTTTTTTATTCTCAGCTCTTCCTGCTTTCATTTTTCTTCAACTCATTTAGGTAATTCACCTTTTCCTTGTAATCATTACGTTTGCAAGGCAACCCAAAATATCCTGTAAGTATTTTCCAGAGTACAGTCCATGCCTAAGAAACAAATACATCGTATAGAGACACTCAGAATTAAAGGTTTGGGATGAAGGACTGTGTTTTAAGAATATGTCTGCAGCTTCTCTGGAGAGATGAACTGAATTGTCTTACAGGCTGTTATCTCCATATAAGAAAAACTGACTTAAAAATTTCTTTTTCCTTTTAGCTCTATTATCTGCTTCTTACTCGCAATTTCGATCCAGCGGCCTTTTCCTCTTTTCTTCTCTCAGGAGCATTACTAGATTCCCCTGAAAAGTCAACAATTTTATCTGTCTACAGAAATGGCCAGTCTTGGTTCAAACTCTGAAGTTTTAGGGCCATTATGCAGCCCAAAATGAACTCCAGACAGCTATCAAAGCATGAAACCATTTTCTTCAACAATATTGTCAGGGCTGAAAACCTAATGACGTATCCAGCAGGAATACTCTAGAAAAAAAAGAATATTGACTCTTTGAAGGTTCACTTTTAACCACTTCTTCTCACCTGTGCTAAACCTCCAATCTCTTTGACGCAGACATAGAGCCTGAACAGGTCCAAGGGTTTCTTGCCCACAGCTGGCAGACTGGCCACAGGTGTGCCCCTCTCCTCCATGAACGTCAGGTACCGATCCACCCACATCTTGCGCTCCGGCTCATTTCCCAGCTCGTAGACTTTAGTGATCTTCTCTCCAGTTGTGGTAGAGGAACTTGATTTCTACATTGCAAGAAGAAAAGAAAGAGTTGGGGGAAGGGTGGGAGGGGAAAGGAAAAGAAAGTAAGAAACTCACAACATTGAAAAAGAGAAGATGTCAAACAAACTAAAGCTATCACACAACAGTCAGGAATGAAGGCTACTAGTTCAGGCACAAACAGTACATTCTGTCCATATACAGAAAAGTCAGCTTTATAAATAAAGGGCCCAAACTCCCCATTTTCATATTTCTTTCACTGATCTGAACTTTGGATCCCAGAAGGCAAGTTTCTGATTTTGCCTCATGTCATTTTAAGAAGAGGTAGCTCTCACAGAATGCTTCTCATCCACCTATCTCAAAGTGCTTTGCAAGCAACTGTTTTGGTAAAATCAGAAACAAGTTTGTCCCACACAAGTTTAGAAAATCCTAAAACCAAACCAATCATCTCCTCTTTGTCCTCAAAGATAGGCTAGAAAACCTGAACGTGATCCTCTGGAGCATGAAGTGCACAAAAACAGCCTAGAGTGTGAATCATGGCAAACCAGTACCAGTACCAGACTCTCTTCAGAGTCACAAATGGCTATGCTTTATTACCGCTTCACATCACTGGTAGCCACAAAGCAAGATGAGCAAGAGTGCCTACAGTGCAAGGAGATTGGTGGCAATACTCTTTGTGAACTACCAATTAGCTGCCTGATCCAGTAAAGCTTGTAAGTAGCAAGTACTCTTCTCCCTTGATGGAGTACAGATGATACCCACAGATGATATCCATCTCAGTTGTCCTACCTTGCAAAGAGGAACGTGTATTATGACTTGGGGGAAACCAAGGATGGACAGCAATCCGAGCTGAGACACCACCAGGAAAAGCAGAAGAGGTGGCAAGAACAGAGTTCCATCTCTGTGGCAAAAAGGCAGGAGTGAACCTGCTTTCCTACTGCTCCTTGGACTTTACTAATGGAAGCTAATGGAAGCTTGTGTGATGTTTGATTCTCTTTTCTTCTCTATTTTTTTTTCTAATGTATAAACAGCAGAAAGCACTGAGGCTGCTACACAAGCTATAAATTCTCACTCTATCTTTTCAGTGCAATGTAACCCTGTGAGCTGGGCTCTGTGCCATGTATGGACAGACTCTGTCACAGACCCTACCCGAGCTGCCTCAGCTCTGACAGCAGAGAGGGGCTGCTGCTACAGCAGAAAGATCCTCCTACTTGCAGAAAGTGAACTGATTTGCTCAGCAGTGGAAGATGGGAGTGGTTCAGAATTAAACACAAGGGAAAAAGATTGACATAAAGCTTTGGGAAGGGAGCCAAATATGTGAAGGGAAACATATCCTTTATGTCTGTACAGTAAAAGCCTAAACTTTGTTGTTGATTGCAGTAGACACTTCTTAAAACTCATCTAGTCAATCACTCTTTCCCTCCTTTGCCTTTTCCTTACTTTGAACTGAAGACAGACTATTGTCAAGTAAACAGAAACTCATTCCTAGTTGTTCATCTCTAAAAAGGATCCTCAGTGTACCTCACAGATGCTACAGAACCACTCACTTTGTCCATGTCCCCACATAGTGGTGAGGCCTGGCACTCAACACTATGAAAGGGATACAGCAGAGTAGAACCCCACTGCCAATGATTTCAAGAGCATTGCCACCATTCATCTTGCATGTTAGCCTGGAAAATATGACAGACTCTGTATCTCCTTCCAGCTATCAGCTGCAATTTGGCAAAACTGGAAGAGAGTCAGGAGAAAAGAAACATGAAGCCAAGGGGGGTGACCTAGCAGTTCCATGAGCCATTGCTGTTCTTTGCAGAGAGCGGATATTAATTTTAATTAAATAAACAGTCTCCTTTAAAGTTTTCTGCCTTGCTGACACTGTAACTTCTTCACAGCAATCCTTCCTACAGACAGATATGATTACCTTTCTTAGAAATGAGGTGCATGCCTGAATTTACTTCAGCCAGACTCAGTTGCATTACAACTCCTACTGAAGTGAGAGTCAGGGCTAAATTTGTTTTATTAATACTAAGTGGCTGGCAGGAAATACATTGACATGAATCCTGCAGATTATGCAAAAAAAGCACAAACTGATTCTGTAATAGCAACCAATTTACTGAAAGCATCACTTGCTATGTATCTGGCTGTTCAAGAAAATCAGTTTAACTCTTAGGAACAAATACACTTTGTCAAAGTTTAGGGGGTTTTTTGGGTGGTAAAAAGGGGGAAGTAGGGAAATCTGTTGCTACTAATTTGTTGTTGTGGTGAGCACCAGATACATGATCACAGGCTTGAACACCTGAATAAACTGGAACTACCCACTACCTTTTGCAGTAAGTAAAAAATTACTCTGCTGCTCGCCAGCATCAATTTTAATCTAACACTTAAGATGCCCCAGAACTCTACAAAAAGGAAGGTGGGAAATTCCAACTTTTATCCATTAAATTTTCCATATGCTTATATTGTAACATATGAGGCAACAAAATAGTTCCTGTTTAGCTTCTATGGTGAACCATGACTAAGAAAGTTCATATTTACCAGTCTTAGGGTTTCATTTCTATATGTTAAGATTCACTTTTCTAAATCAGAATCAGAGCAGAAAGGAAACAGTTAAGAATTTTTCTTTCTGCATTTTTCTTCTATACATCTCAAATGATGCTGCTTTTCAGCAGTGTGGCAGCAAGCTCTAAAATGACAGTATAATCTGAAAACTTTTCACAGCTTACAGAAGGTAAGAAGTGTTTCTTACTGTGTGAGCTTTCAGGTTGTCATGCTTTGTAAAATGGGTGCAATTTTCTTCTAAAATGAAATGTTAACTTTAGAAGAATGCACTGGAGGGAAGAATGCTATTCCTCAAGAGTAAAGATATTTTTCTCTTCTCTATTTTTATAAATGTAAACGGATAAAAATGACAGATGTGTGCAAGCTAGTCTACACAAAAACAAACTTCAGTTTCACATGGGCAGGTTCAGCTGGAAGCCTAAATTTACCTATAAATATTAAATATTAACCCTTATAAAACAAGGGTTTAAAAGAGAAAGATCCCATTTGAAACTAAAATGAGCACATCCCAGGCAATGCTGGAAGAACACACATCACGACCTTTTCTTCTGTTAAGTATGTTGATAATTTTGGCGACAGAAGAATGCTAATGCAAACCTGTGGTAGATATCTTTACTGACTTAGTTATATCCTACTCTGCCTGCAATCCCCAGCACTCTTCCACATGATATACTGGCAGTGTATAAATGGCTGATTAAAAAAACTCCACCAAAGTATGTGGATACCAAAGCCAGTTCCCATACTAAATCTGACAAAACCCATACTTTCTTTTCAATACACCTACCCATTATTAAAACTGTATTATGTGCAGACCCTTGTATGGTGAGGCTGTAGAATCCTTCAGAGCAACACAAATTTCTGTAGGAGTTATTTTCACATGAAAGGCAGTGGTAGTTGCTTCTTTACATATCTTTAAGGATCTATATTTATACAATTATCTACTGCTCCCTTCACTGACTTCAATGAAGAATTTGCCAATATTACATGTGTTACACAGACCTCTCTTACTACAGAACAGAACGTGCATACACAGGCAGCTAAAACTGCCAAAGTCCAATCCCTGGCAGAGGCTTGTGCAGGACAAATTCCTTTGCCAAGATTTCATCCTGCAGGACTCAGGAGACCCCTCCCAGCTAGCACCATGGAGGTGTAGTACTGTTCAGGTGTATTCACTGTCTTCTTCATGGGTACCTATGGACAGCATTTCATGGGGTTTTCATAACCTACTGTTTTACTCATGTGGCAATGACGCTGCATAGTTTACACCCACACTTGAAATGTCTCTTTGAAAGACTTTTAGAACTACCTCACCACTGTCAGGGATGCACATTATATGGAAAACTGGCAGAGCAGACGTGTCCTTCTCCTGACATACCCAAAGAGGCCTCAAAACCTAATGTTCAACAGCTCTTTCTCCATATTTTCTCATGCCTCACTTCCACACAAAACAGCTGAAAGAGAGGATCCACTTAGTAGGATCACAGGGATACCTTGAAGTGAATCAGAGACCATTCACCCCTGCTTTTATCCTCTACTGGAATGGACAAGTTGTAGCACATGAAGCAGCTCTGGGATTTAATGAACCAATTCAGGCTGTTTTCAAGTGTAACGAAATGCCTGCAATCAATCGTTCCAGTCTATGTTAGCTGCTGTTGAAGTCGATGAAGTTATCCAATCCACTGGCCTTCATAGGTAAAAAGGGATCAGCTCATTTGCAGCACTTATTTTTCTATCATTCCAAAGCACTGTATTTATCCATGTCTAACTGAAGCTTTTGGAGAGAAGGACATTCAGAAGAAATTGAAAGCATACATTTCCTCATTTATTTTTTCCAGTGTTATACTCTATCAATAATCTATACTTTATTTACTCAAAAAAACCTCTGCATATGTTCACGATGACTCCAGGATTTCTATGCAATGAGCTCAGGAATGCATTGTTGTTTGGTTGTAGAGGAAGCACTCGATGTGTTAGACAGCCTGTGCAATAACTCTCTTGCTTTCCTCCAGAAAACTGCCCAAACAAGCAATACCTCAAACATTACTACAAAGAAAACGAACAGAATTTTTGGTGTCACCCTATTACAAATGCTTTTAAGAAAAAGAGGAGACCTTGTGGGAACAAGTAACATCAGCTGCCTTCTGAGATTCAAAGTTGCTGTCAAATGAACATCCAAAGATTTTAAGTGGTGCATTTCATGCCATGCTGCCCCCTTGCTCAGGGGATTCTGTAAATATCTGGGTTTTGGATGGTTAGATCTCTTCTCCTCTGATTGGCCTCCCTCTGTTTGCCCTGAGATGTACTCTTTAACATATCACTTTGTAAAAGTAGTTATCAAAGAATCATTGCTAATTTAAGTGCACTTCAACACTGGGGAAAACCCCTTTTATATTCTGCATAAGAATATGTTACATTATCTTTTCTACAGAGAAATAACGATCATTTCTGCTTTTGATAAAAAGAAGTGTGAGGAACAACATATATATTCCTAATTATAAAAAAAAAACCAAAGCAAAAATGACCAGATGGACATTTGCTCCCCACACACCATTACCACCTTATGTTTGCATTCTCTTTTCTATATATGTATATACATTTTCTAGGTGTGTGCATGTATGCAGATAGAAAGATAGATGATGAAATTTGGTTTTAGCTCCACACATGTCTTTCAGGTTTTTCTTTACAACCTGTATGAGAATTATTAAACATTACTCATCTAAAAAATAGTTTTCTAAAAATGTACATGCATCAAGGTCTTTTTTCAGCTCACAGTCTGGGTTATTTAAAAATAAACAAATGAAACAAATTAGAAACAACTTTGGTTTAGACTGTGCCTTGACAGCCTAATGGCTGTATTTCCAAATACACAATTCAAAATAATAAATGTTTAAAAAATATAAATGGCAACTTTTCTGTGGTGCCGAGTCCATAATTTAACTTTTGATGGGTATTAGTTTCAACAGGGGAGAAGATTTCTCAATTTGTT